ACTTCTATAAAATATGTCACGTCCACCCTCGGCCAGCAAGGAAAAACGCAACACCTGGAGCTCTTCTTCCAGCAGTTCTCAGGACTTTATTCACTTTCTCTTTCTCTTTTCCCCTCTCTCTCTTCTCTCTCTCTCTCCTCTCCTCTCTCTTTCTCCTCTCTTTTTCCTCTCCCCTTTTCTCTCTCCCTCTCTCCTCTCTTCCTGGGCAAACCTCTCCCAGCCCTTAAGTAGGCATGGGCTGCCAACCCCGGATTGCCAGGTGGGCACTGCCCATAAGTTCACACATATGCAAGCAGCTGATAATCATTGCGTGATCATAGCATAGGTCAGGCCTTAGCCATCTCAGGAGTTGATTATACATCTCCATCAGGTGTGACACCACGCAGCTCGCTACAAAAATAAAATTTAAAACATAGTGTGTGGGAGGAACATGACGGTTATCAGGAAAAGGTGCTTGCAGTCAAGCCTGGAGATCTGAGTTCAATCCCCGGGGCCCACACAGTGGAAGGAGAGAGCCAGTCTCCCCAAGTTGCCCTCTCATGTCCACATGTGTGCCGCAGGTAGATACATGTGAAAGTTAAAATATAGCAAACTATGTTTCAGATCAAGTTTCATGAGACACGGGGTAGTTTAAATTCCCAACAGTCATTTGGTTCTCAGTGAAGACAAGAAAGATGATCCTCTGAGAACTGAGATGGTCAAAAAGTATGTTGATTACAAATGGCTCCTGGTTATGGTTTGACAAGAAACATCTGCACAGAGCATTTGGAGAATGCATCTCAGGACATGCATCTATGCAAACCCATGGCCACCAAGTCGCTTGGAGCAGAATGAGACCACACTTTTGCCAGACAGCCCTCGGCACGAGGTCCAAACAGAAACAGAAGATTAGTTAACATGCCATTCGGACACGAAGGAGAAAGCAAACAAGGAGCCAGCAGAGCAAGACAAGCCCAACCCCAACACTGCAAAAGAACCACAAGCAACGTCACTCCCTTGCCAGGTCAGAGCGACAAACACGTAAACACACACCCTAACACTCACTGGTACAGTAGCCTGTTAGATACAGACAGAATATCAGAACTGACTGTCCGCTCTGTCCAAGGGGTGCACACAGGAGGATCAGAAATTTGAGGTTACTACAGCTCCATAGCAAGTTCAAGGACAGCCTCAAAAAAAAAATCTACTCAACGTGTACTTTTAAAAAAAAAACAAGTTCTGGAAATAAAAACAAAAGCCAGTCTAGCTACACACTGACAACACCTCTCCTTCCCTCAGAGCTGCTGGATGCACGTTTGTAAGCTGCACGGGCTCTCAGGAAGGGAGACAGGAAGACGTGGCAGAGTCTCAGACCTCTGTACAGCTCCGAGCACTTTCCTGGCACGCTTTGATCCCGGCACTGGTGGGGTGGGGGCGGGGAGTGAGCTAGGCGTGACGGTGCACAGCTGCAGTCTCAGAGGCTGAGGCCCATCTGCGCGACACGGCGATGAATGAGTTAATCCATCAGCCAGCAAAGCAATGAAGGGTGCAGTAAATGACTTACTTCATTTGATAAGATGACTCGGCTATGTTTGTGTATCAGTATTTAAAATGTGCCTTGCCCCTTCAGGCTATTATATACTGTCCTAGATTATGGCTATGTCATAATTTAGTTTTATGTATAGTCCTATAAGTTAAATAAAATCTTCCCATTTTAAAAGTCATTTTCCTCAGGAGAAACCTGTGAACTTTCTTTGCCTAAGAAACATTCTCTTAGACAAAGTAAAGACTGAAGGGGATGTGGCTCATTCTCTCTCTCTCTCTCTTTTTTTTAATTGATGTGAGACTTTTGTCTGCATGTCTGTATATGTGCATGCAGTTTCCACAGAGGCCAGAAGATGGCATCATATCTTCTGGAGCTGAAATTCCAGATGGCTGTTAGCTATCATGTGGGTGCTAGGAACTGAACCTAACTCCTCTGGGAAAGCAGTTGGTGCTCTTAATCACTGAGCCTTCTGTCCACAAGTGCTTGGGCTGCTGGTTTTATGTCAACTTGGCACAAGCTAGAGTCATCAGAAAAAGGAATCTTAATTGAGAAAAACACCTCCATAAGATCAGGCTTGATGTGGGAGTGATTTCTTACTAATAAAGAAACTGCCTAGGCCCATTTGATAGGCCAACCCTTAGGTAGGTGGAGAAAACAGAACAGGATGCTGGGAGAAAGAAGCTGAGTGAGGAGTCGCCATGATTCTCCCGCTCCAGACAGACGCAGGTTAAGATCCTCCCTGGTAAGCCAGCTCGTGGGCTACATAGAATATTAGAAATGGGTTAGAACAATATGTAAGAGCTAGCCAATAAGAAGCTGGAACTAGCCGGGCCAGGCAGTGTTTAATAGAATACAGTTTCCGTGTAATTATTTCGGGCATAAGCTAGCCATGTGGGCGGCCGGGTGCTGGGGACGCAGCCCCGCCGCTCCTAATTCAACACAGGCTTTAAGGCATTTTCTCAGTTAGTGATTGATGGGGGAGGGCCCAGCCCATTGCAGGTGGTCCTGAGTGCTATAAGAAAGGAGACTGAACAAATTACGATGAGCAAGCCAATAAGCAGCCGCCTCTATGGTCTCTGCATCAGCTCTGCCTCCAGGTTCTTGCCCTGCTTGAGTTCCTGCCCTGACTTCCTCCACTGATGAACAGTGATGTATGAGTGTAAATAGACCCTTTCCTCCTCAACTTGCTTTTGGTTGTGCAATGCTCAAGTTTTTCTCTTCTTCTTTTGGAATTCACTCTATAGACCAGGCTGCCCTGGAAGCCTCCAGAATGCCACCATTCCCAGCCTGCAATGTAGCTCTTTTATTTTAATTAGACGTAGGGAATAAAAACTGAAAAGATCCAGTATTATGAGTAGTTGGATGAATGCTAAATAAACTGAAATCTGATGTCTACATAGTTTAGCAAAGACATCACCCAGAATACAAATACACAAAGGTACGTAAAGAGCTCCAAGGTGTTCTGATAAATAAAAAAAAATCAATTTTCAAAAAAAAAAAACATGGAAAGACAGCCTAAATTTTACAAAAGAGACGACCACGAGGCAAAGCTACAACCCTTCAGAACACACAGGTCTCCCTGAGGATGAGGATGTAGCTGACGCCGGCATAGCCATCCAGGGTGGTCATACCCCAAATTCCAAGTGCACAGAGAACCTTGTGGCTTCACTGTTAGGACTTACGACAGAGATAACACACTCTAATGCTTGTTCAGGTCAAAGATTCTAACATGCAGTCCATTGAATCCTGTTCTTAAAACGTGTGGGGGGAAACTACAGTGAGTTCACTTCCCAGTCTAGATGGAATCACTGTCAAAACGAGGCGGTTCTGTGGAGGCTCACTGTGTTCCTGCTTCTCTAGGGCAACGGAAGAAATGGGGTCCAGAACACCTGCCATTGAAGAGCCAGACACGGAAGCAGGTGAGTCTGAGGTCAGCCTGCAGGACAGGAGAGCCTCTGGTTCATGCAAACAGCGATGCGTGCAGCTCGGTGCCAGGGCGTGTGCCTGGCACACAGAAGAGGAGAGCAGTGAACACAATGGCAGAAGCTCGAAGACATGGAAGGACAGCAGCAGGGCGCTCTTGTCCTGTCTCCTGCTACTGACAAATGCCGTGGCCAAAGCACCTGGAGAAGGAAAGGGTTGCTTTCGTCTCCTCAAGGAGGGGAGCCAGGGCGGGAGCTCAGGCAGGAGCTTGGAGCAGAAACCACAGGGAGATGCCACACACCGCTTGCTTAGCTACCTCTCTACCGCCCAGGCCATCTGCTGGGGATGGCCCTGCTCACGGTGGGCTGAGACCTCCTACGTCAATTAGCCGTCAAGAAATGCCCACAGATACAGCTGCGGGCTAGTATGACGGAGGCAAGTGCTCAACTGACAGTCCCCCTTCCCAGGCGACTCCAAGTTAAGGCACACCGACAGATGAAGCTGACTTTGAAACGTCTGAGAACACCAGGCCTGAATCTCCATTCAGCTCCATGGCTGTTGGGAGAAACTTCAGAATTAAAGCCATTTAGGAAGACAGGACAGACCACTCAGTCTAAAGGGTCTAAAGATTGTGGGTTCGCAGCTTCAAAATGCAGAAAGGAAAGGAGTGCAGGCTTGGTGCACCTGAGTGGTCATGACTGGGTATCATCAGTCACACCCTGTGCCCTGCAGAATCAAATCCCTAAGAAAGCGAGGCTTGTCTGCAGAGCTCCTTACAGCCTGAAAGCTCCCCACAGCTTGAAGTCACATTGGCTACATCAGATGGTAGCAAAACACCAACAAATCCAACCAAGATGCAACGGCCCCTTCACTGCAGAGCAGGGCACCCTGACATTTAAGACCATGTGGTCCGGACATGCCTGCAGGCAGGACTGGTGCCAGTTTGACGCCAGCCTGGGGAACACAGTGAATTAGAGGCCAGCCTCCCCCAGAGTGAGACCTTGTCTCAAAAAACAAAAACCACCATACACACAGAAAAATGCTGTTTTCTATTGAGGGATTTTTGTTTGTTTTTGTTTTTAACCTTTAAAGAGTATCTTTTGGGTTGTGTGTGTATGTAAGAAATGAGCACTTGTGTGTGTGTACCAGTGTGCTCATACCGCATACGCCACGCATGTACTACACCACATGTATCATTCAGAAGACAACCTCAGCGTGTCCCGGCCTCTGCTGCCTGGCTTTGCAGCAGGGTCTCTTTGCTGTCTTTCCAGGTGGACACAGGGCTAGCCAGCCTGCCCTTCCAGGGACTTCTCCTGCCCTAGGAGTGCCATCACGACAGACACTGTGCATGCCTTCCAGGATCCTAACTCAGGTCCTCTGAGCCTTCACCCCAAGTCCCAGCTTCATCGCTTTGAAGCGTCACCCATTCCGTGTGGTACAAACTCAAGGGGTTAGAACACATCAGTTTGGCCAAGATAGCATCAGCAATGACAGCACAATGGAGGGGACCTGGAGAGTGCCCCTTGGCAGCTGTGATGCTGGCCTCCCGTACCTGGTGAAAGCCGCGTTGTGTTCCGTCATGGCAACGAGCAGCTTCAAAGCATAGGCGGGAACTGGGTCAGGCTCCATGAGGATGTGCTCATACCTAGAAATAAAACCACCAGAAATGACTTGGTCTTCCTCCCGCATATGCCCCAAGTGTCAGAAAAGGACAGGTTGTAACATGCCAGCCTCTGGGGCCAGCACACATAGGGAGCACACAGCCTGCATGGGCAGGCCACTCTGTAAGATGGTGTAGGCAGCAGGAGACCAGTGAGCAGGAGGCATCCGTGCTGCTGTCTCTAAGCCACCCCACATTTGGGTTCCCTGGTGGACATGAGGCCAGCGCTGTGCCCATGGCTAAGACACAGCTGTTGAAATATGGAAGCGGCGGGGCTGCGTCCCCAACACCCCGGCCGCTTGACTAGCTCATGCCCGAAATAACAACACACAAACTGTATTCATTTAAGAACTGCTTGGCCCATGAACTCTAGCCCTTTCAGGATAATTCTCGCACCTGGACTAGCCCATTTCTAATGATGTGTGTAAGCACCCCAAGGTGCGCTTACCGGGAAGATTCTAGCCTAAGTCCATCGTGGGTTGCAGCTGCCTGGGAGAGCAGAGCATGGCGGCTGTCCGGTCCCTCTGGAAGCAGCGCAGAGTCTGACCTCACTTCCTCTTCCGCCCAGCATCCTATTCTGTTTCCTCCTCCCATCTATGCTCTAAGCTAAGCCAAGCAGTTTCTTTATTGCTCAGCCAATGAAATCAACAGATTGATATATGACACTCCCACATCACACAGCTCAGTCGCAAGGGGAAAGATGAAGGTGATGAAACATTTTCTTGTGGACAAGGAGAGACACAGGAGAGCTCGCTGGTCACTGTAACTGTATGCTCTCGTGCCCAACCCACTCCTCTCTCTCTCTCTACACCTGCTGGGCAAGGGCTCCTACCTGGAGCTACACACCGTCCCAGAATTTTTGTGCCTAAGAGAAACAAAGACGCTTCCAGATGCCTCCTGAGCCACAGGAATGGGAGTTAGAAAGTGCAAGTCATGGTTCCTGCTGGACGGCATTGCTACAACAGCTACCGAACCTATAGGGCTGCCACTGGTGGGAATCCATCTAAATACCAGTTCTCCAAGGCACATTCCTCCCCTGGATCCTGAAGAATGGAGCCCTGGTGATTTACGAAGTCATTATAGCCCTGATGATTTTACAGGTCACAAGAGAATTATTTTTAAAAAGGAAAAGGAAAGAAAGGCTGTGCTTATGTTTCCCAGGAGAGGAATGCGGCGCCATTCCTTCATAACGGCATTGCAAACACATTTTATCAGCATGATCCCTGCGATGTTGAACACTGCCATAAAAACAAATATGTAAGTAAACTATAAAGTTCGAATTGTTGCAGGTGACCGAAGTCAGGCCAAACGACAGACTCTCCCCTAGGCCTGCTCGGCCCCTTCAACACTTACCCGGACTGTGAAGTCGAAGGCAGAAACACTTCTGCCATTCCCTACGCCTTTCCGCTGCAGCACGGGGCGTCTTCCCTACAGTCCCATGAATAACTGAAGTTGCAAAGGCACAGGCGCCCCCCTCCTCACTCGAGGAGATGGCCAGTTCCCTCCTCCATCAGACCCTTTGCTCCCACGGAAGGCAGAGAACAGGCAACCCCTGCTCCTTTCCTTGGTGCCAACTGAGAGAATAAAACCCTGTAGGGAAACCCCCCTCTGCCCTTGTGGGGATGCTAATCCATGAGAATGAGAAGGTGGTACCAGAACCATCTCAAGGAAGAAAGAAGTCTTCTGGCCTCTGTGGGCACCGGCGCTCAAAGATTCACATATCCACACAGGCAGAAAAAGAATTCTTTGTAGAATTCCCAGAAAAATATCCACCCCTTCTCAGAAACATGAACACTGTCCCCCACTTTATTAGCCTGATTCAACCCCTGGACTTCTACCCTGTCTACAACCTCACCCTGGACTTCTACCTGTAACTACAACCTCACCCTGGACTTCTACCTGTAACTACAACTTCATCCTGGACTTCTACCTGTAACTACAACCTCACCCTGGACTTCTACCCTGTGTCTACAACCTGACCCCTGAACAGGAGAAGCTGCCCCAAACACCTACCTCCCACCCCTATTTCTGGACATTGACAAAGTCTACTCAAATTGGTCAGCAACTGTTCAGGCTTGTCCTTGGTCCCACAATTCCAAGGGGATGAAAATGACCCAGTGTGGGGATAAACTGGGACCATCATTGGTTATCCTAGGGTTAAAATCCCATCAAGACTGTAAACGGAGACAATGTTTATCTACATTTCTGTGAATGCTGAACATCGCTGATGAGTGAGTTTCCCAAGTGATAGTGCCAGACCAGCTCCCATCAAGACATGATGTCACCTTCTGCCGTCAGCTTTCGCAGACGGCACTGCCAGTAGTTTGCACACTGAACTCCTGAGAGGTCCCGATGCTAATTAACAAGGATTTGGGCTTAAGAGCCATTAAATACGGTCTCTTCTGTTCAGTACAACCCTCTAAAATCTAACCTTGTCTGCCCACTGAATAAATCCCATGGTGATTTTCTGGGAAGATGTGAGGCCTGTCTCCCCTAAGAGGAAGAGCTCTCTTCTCGGGTGACTGTCAAAATCCCAACCATGAAGAAAAGGAAAACTAAGGGGGGCAGAAACAAGCAAGGGTATGCACACATGAGTGGATGGGACCGACAGACAGACACACACACACACACACACACTTGAGTCACAAGACGGAGGTTACCAACAGCCAGCCTGAGTTCCCTGACTATGGTTACGAGTCATCACAGGGATTCTTTGCACAGCAGGATGTGGCAGTGGCTTCAAGAGTGTGTCTGAGAAGTTCACGCCTTATCAGCTGGGCAGCTGAGCTATAGCAGCAGTGGTCCCACGAGAGAGGGATGATTTGGCACCTCCCAGGACAGAGCATATCAATGCTCCTGCCATGGAGAAAGTCTCTGCAGACCTTCTGACGGATCTCAGATGCTCCCTCCCTAAACCAAATGAGATCTTCTTATGAGAGACAGACAGGATGGAATGTGAGATATGGAGATGGGGGGAGGCAGGGACTACGGTATGAAAACCACGACAGGCAGAGTCTGGCACAGCCATCAGAGCCCAGCAGTGAGTCGTGGGACAGACATGAGCCGAGCGTCTGCTCTAACAGAGAGCACATGTCTGTGGTAACGTGACGAGACAGGAGGGACAGCTCTGCATGGCTTGAAGCAGATTCCTCCAGAGACCTCAGATGGGAGCCATCAGCAGAATGAGACTTCAGTTGTGCTCGAAGCTGAGCAGTGAGTTCAGCAAGAGGGCTTGTGGGTAACGGTGGCTGCTGACAAGCTGCTGACTCAAGCTCCCTGTTGAACTCACATGGTGGAAGGAGAGAATCCATTCCTCTGATCTCTACACACACAGGTGCGCTCTCTCTCTCTCACTCACTCACACACACACACAGGTGCTCACACACACGCATACACACACACAGGTGCTTATACACACACACCTTACATTTAACCCTGTACAATTTAACACCTGTGAGGGGTGTGGTCCGTATGCCTATAACATCAGCACAAAGCTGACGGCATCAGCTCGAGGCCTGCCTGGACTGCACAGCAAGATCCAGGAAAGCTTGGGTTACAGAGAGAGAGGCCCTCTTAAAGAAAAAAATTATTCTGTTCAATCAAACTGAGGGTTCCCTGCAGCACAAGACTCCATGGAGGGTTCCCCACCGGGAGCTCCTGGGAATCTGCTGCCATGACCTTGCTGTGCGAGCCATGCAGTAGCAGAAGGAAGAACAAGCCCCTCCATGCTCATATTCTCCACCTCGGCTACTGACCCCCTGAGGAAAGCATCTGGGAAAAGGGGAGGCTCTGTGACTCTCGTTTCTGAGAGTGACAGAAGTCTCAATTCCATGCTCTTGAATCATAACACCACTTGACCGATCCCCAGCTAGGAGCATCTTTCTGTGGGCATCAGAAGACTGTACCCAGCAAACAATGCCCAGCAGAGGCTGTGAGGTGGGTAGGGCTGGGACTCTTCTGGGTCCTCCACAGTGGGACAGCCACCGCCTGTGTCTAGATCTCTCCAGCATGAGACCAGGAGCATATGTCCAAAGACACAGGGACATCCAGCCCACCCCATGGTCAGGCCAGCTGTACAGAAGCGTCCCCACGTGAGTGGGCAGCACAGGACTTACTGGGGAGCAGTGGACGGTACAGGGCTTACTGGGGAGCAGTGGACGACACGGGGCTTACTGGGGAGCAGTGGATGGCACAGGGCTTACTGGGGAGCAGTGGACGGAACAGCACTTACTGGGGGAGCAGCTCGTCCCTGAAGAGTGCCAGAAGGTTGCTGTCGGGATCACAGCCGGCCTCATCATCACCATCCTCTGGCTCCTGGCTCACCAGTAGGGCCGTGGTCTCAGAGAGCAGCCGCAAGCTGAAGAGTCTCCACTCCACTGGATGAAGGAAAGAATGCCAAGAACGTGAGAATGGAATGTGTGCTTATCGTGGTGATACACAGGGATGGTGGTGAGAACTGGGCTACCCCAGGTCCCCAGTTATCTCTAAAAAGCAAAACTAAGAAATGTGTCCTGGATTCTCAAGACCACAGTCTCACTCACCATTCTGGCTTTGAACCAAGGAGACCAAGGGTGGCAAAATGTAATCAATCACCTGGAAGAAAGGACAGAAGCCGTAGCTCAGAACTCTGTACAAAAAATGGTTATTGGGCCGGGCGGTGGTGGCGCACACCTTTAATCCCAGCACTCGGGAGGCAGAGGCAGGTGGATCTCTGTGAGTTCGAGACCAGCCTGGTCTACAAGAGCTAGTTCCAGGACAGGCTCCAAAGCCATAGATAAACCCTGTCTCTAAAAACCAAAAAAAAAAAAAAAAAAAAAGGTTATTGGGCACCAGCCCCCATCTGTGTCACCGTCAGAGGGAGAGGAAGGCCAAAGGCAGGTCATCTGGGCCAACAGTGTGAGGGTGCAGGCCCTCACGGGGGACCTGGAGTGGAGGCTGCTGGTCACATGACCCGCAGTCAGGAAACAGATGAACGCTGGTCCTCAGCTTGCTTTCTCATTTTTGTTCAGTTGAGGACACGGCCTGAGGAATGTGCTGCCCACATGTGGGTCCTTCTATCTCAGCAACCTCATCTAGATCTAATTCCCTCGCGGATACCCAGAGGTCCAACCTCATCTAGATATTCCCTCGCGGATACCCAGAGGTCCAACCTCATCTAGATATTCCCTCACAGATACCCAGAGGTCCAACCTCAACTAGATATTCCCTCATGGATACCCAGGGGTCCATCCTCATCTAGACATTCCCTCACGGATACCCAGAGGTCCATCCTCAACTAGATATTCCCTCATGGATACCCAGGGGTCCATCCTCATCTAGACATTCCCTCACGGATACCCAGAGGCCAAGAACTAGGCACCAGATATGAAGAGCACAGTCCCCAAAGTGAAGAAGCCTACACAGGCAGTGGACACACAAAATTACTCAGCCCCAGTGATGTCAGATACTTAGAATTTGAAAGAGATAACACTTTAACCCAGCTGGTTTTAAACCCAAACAAAGCAGAGTTGGGGCCTGCAAGTCTGCGCAAAGATAAGATGCAGAAACTATAAACAATTAATGCGAATGTCACATGGGAAGTTAGCAAGTCAGTCCCACACCACCACCCACACCCGAAGACTCAACAATTCCACTCCTCTGTGACCGATCACACGAGTGAACGCGGAATGGGGAAATCTCACACAGGACAGAGACAAGAAATGGTTTTGGTTCCTGGAGTTCTTATAAGATACATACATATATATACATATATATACACATATATATAAGAAAAAAATATATATTATTTTCACACACACATACCCATATATATGTGAAGAAGGTTCAACAAGCAATCTTGCAGGTATTTCTCAAGTATTATGGTCTCTAGACAACACTGGTTGAGGAATGTGTGCAGCTGACACATCCTAGCGTAAATGACACGTGACTCCTGTGTCAACACCATCAGCTACCCTGTTTGCACAATTACGAAGTAAATTATATCAATGACCCCACAGTCTCATCAGCACGCCTATCAAAACACATCAGTTACTCAGTGCCAACTGTGATCATTTACAGTACGCGCCTACACAAATATAAACAATGATGGGTCGGTAAGCTAGGGCTTCTGGGAAGGGCTCTGTGCCATGGCTCTGGTTCTGAGAAATAAACAGCCACTGTGAATCAGACTTGAGGTCCTTCAAGGCTGTGACAACCTGGCCACTTGATGTTTCTTCTATCACTGTTTACGAGTATTACAGAGCTACAGTCACAGCTTGCAGATGGGAAGACCAAGTGTGTCATCTGGAAATATCCAGGACAGAATCAAAACAGTCACCTAGAGATACTACGTAGAAAAAACCAGACACAGGTGGAAATCTAAACTCAGAAGTCAGGCTGGCCTTTCTAGTCTGTCCCCATGACCTGGTGCTCACACTGTCACCCCTCCCCCAGTCCCCAGTGGCTGGAGGAGCTCCAGAGGGTACAAGGGCACAGAGGCCAGAGCGGGTGCAGATAGCGTGGGCCCAGCACCAGGGCAAACATGTCCTTTCAAACGTGTTACCAATTGCTATTTCAGCACCAATGGTTTTCCTTAAAACTACATGCACTTTAGCTTGTGTATTTAAAGGAACACTCTGAAAATGCAATCTACGGGTCTCACAGCTGACCCAAGGTTCCCACAGCATGAGGTTAATTACATCCCCTTGAATGCAGGCAGAACTCGCTCTGAAACAACACAGGTATCAATGCCCAGTGCCAGGAACACCACTCTCAGGGTTGGCCAGACTCTTGGCCCTGTCCCACACAGGGATATGAGGGTGGGGCACCAGAGAGTACCACTTCTAATTCAGTCACAGGTTTGGGGAAAGGACTGAATTCACCAGAGGGTCTAACAAGGGATTATTGATGTAAAGATGTCTCCAAGAGGTGACATTCAGACATGAGTGGTTCAAATGCTAAACCACCACTCACCCCTGAGGGGTTTCTCTGTGCTGTAGGAATTCCTACCTCCAGTAGCCTTTAAGTTACCCGCCCAATTGGGCATGGCCTCTTATTCTATATATGCAGATGTAAAGCACAAGTCTGGCCTCTCTTCTGGCTACAGGATTCAGTTGCTGTTCCCCATTTGAGCAGAGGACTGTGATCTATGAGTCTACCCCTAAATAAATAACCTTCTATTATTCTCAGTTCTGAGCTAGTGTGGGATTTCTTTTAAGTGTCCTTCTTCAAATGGTGTGCCAACGTGGAGCTGACTAAACCCTGCAAGCTTAGACCAAAACAAAACAAAACAAAACAAAACAAAGAACTCCCTCCCAAAAAAAACCCCAGAGTTAAGCAGGGCTTTTTGGTAGCAGTGCTTTCTCAGGTGGGCTCTGTTTGCTAGAGACAAGCATATCTCATTAAGAGAGGTTTCCTGACTCAGCTTTAGCTGCAAAAACTTTGCAGCCCTTTTAAGAGGCTCTGCCACAAAGCATTAAATAGTGTTGATGAAAAGCTGACCACATGCTTCTTGATGGTGGTAGGGACCTTGAAATGCCATAAAGTTGTGGCAATAACCATGGCTCCAGCAGGTACCTCCGCCATGAGGCTAGATTCTCAGAAAGCTAAAGAATGAGCTGGATCCCCAGTCAAAGCCATGACTTTAATCCTGGCCATATTGCTTAGAAAATTAAAAACCCATGTAGTCAGAAAAGATGTACAATATAGATTCGGATGAAGACAACTTCTATATGGTTTACAATGTGTTTAAAAATATATGTAGGCTTCGAATAGAAAAGAAAAAGGATAAAGTCCTTAAAATAAAAAAGAAACAGAGTAGTTGGGTGTGGTGGCACACACCTTTAATCCCAATGCTTGGGATCTCTGTGAGTTCAAGGACAACCTGGTTTACAGAAAGAATTCTGGGATAGCCAAAGATACACAGAGAAACGCTGTCTCAAAAAGCCAAAAATTTAAAAAAAAAAATAAGAGTTTAAAATACAGCCACATAGAGATGAAAAATACACAGAGAGTCTGGATACTGTATGTTATTGTGTTGCCTTTGAATTGTTTGATGGCTGAGGAAGAAGCAACAGCTGCTAAAAGATATTTGATTATAAATACTGTTGGATTAATCCAATATATATATATATATATATATATATATATTTTGAAAATTCCTTGACTTCAAAATTTAAGTCAAATGTATGTTACTTTGGAGAAGAAGTTTTGCATTGTTTCCACAGGAAATGAGAGGCTGTGGATTCACTCTGGGCTAAGAAAAATTAGGTTTGATCAAGGAAGATCCCCTGAAGAATCTCCAATAGGAGCAGATGGCCCAGAGGATCCAACATTTCAGAACATTTCTGTAGCAGTTTCCTCTGAGTTCTGCATCCAGAACAGTTTCAAGACTGCTGGCTAAGATAATCAAGCCTCACAGAATATTCCAATTAGGACTTGACCATAATTCAAAATTTTCTTTAGGTCCTCATAAGATTACCAGCACCCCCAACCAGCAGGAAGTAGCCTGGAAAACTATACCCACATTCCCAAAATAATGGATTATGGATGTTTGCCTTTGTTTAGAATGTTGGTTACAAGTTGTTATGGATAATGGTCAGGAGAAAAGCTAAACAAAGAATATTAGATTCAGAGTTCTTTTTTTTTAAAGGGTGGGGGAAGTGCTGTGGGACAGTGGTCTCTTATTCTGTCACTTTTATTATTTTTAATAAACACTGATTGGCCAGTATCCAGGCAGGAAGTATAGGTGGGGCAATGAGAATTCTGGGAAGAGGGAAGTTTCAGTCTGCAGTCATCACCCAGACAGAGAGGAAGCCAGACACAGAGGATGTAAGATGTGACTGCTTTGCTGAAAAAGGTACCAAGCCACGTGGCTAACACAGACAAGAATTATGGGCTGATATAAGAATTAATAAGAAGCCTGAGCTACTGGGCCAATCAGTTTAAAATTAATGTAGACTTCGGTGTATTGCTTTGGGACTGAATGGCCGCAGGACCAGGTCATAGCACGCCTCACCTGTAATTTGCCTTTCCTAGAAAGAGAACAAAACCAGCTTGTACAACACAATTTCATACCTCCGTGATAACGTATCAGAAATGGCCACCTCAAATGCCTCAGATTGCCCTTTGGGCACTTCACTCCCCACTGCTCAGCCCTGTCAGTCCACTCCCTGGCAAGGTCACCCTGGCCAGTGAACCCGACCTATCTTTCCCAAGGGGGAGGAGCCTGCTCAACTCTAACCCAGGCCAAGCAGAGCTATACACACCCTCTGACCCCAGCAGACACTTCCCATCCTGTTCAACACTTAACTCCCCTTGCACACTCAGTTGAAGAAACACATTCTCCCACAACCAGGCACAAACCAGCAGACTGCCTAGGGCTGCCACACCCTGTGGGTCCCCTATCCACACTGTATCCTGCAAATCTTGGTGCGCGCACACACACACACACACACACACACACACACACACACACACACGTGCAGGCATTGTCCAGACACAAGCCCAGGCTGGCTCAGTGCAGAAGGTGGTAAGCCTCAGCTCACTGCATTCTCCACCCTGCTTTTAAAGAGCTGGTTCACAAAAATAAATAAATAAATGAAATAAATAAACTTCACTACAAATAAAAGAAACTCCGAATTGTCTCAGGTTGCTGACAGATGCTATCAGAAGCAAGAACACTTTTCCTCCTAGACCAAGGTTCCAACCCAAAGCTGTCCCAGCTTTGCACATTTGACAGATTCAAAGTAACCAGTGTTTTCCCTTCTTGGAAGCTTGCAGAAACACTCACACATGAGGCAGTAGGACCACTGCCCTCTGCCACCCGATCCTGTTTTGGGCTAGCTCACACTCATGTTCTCCTCTTTTATGCAGGCCAGGATACAGACCCAGGGGATGGTGCCACCACAGTGGGTTGCCTACTCCAACAGTTACCGTTATCAAGTCAATCCCTATAGACAAGTCCACGGGGCAACCTGATCTACTCTGGGGCAGCCTGATCTACCCTGGGGCAGCCCGATCTAGACAGCTCCCTGTGGAGAGCCTTGCCTTCCAAGGTACCAAGCTGGCAATCATGGAGGATCTGGCGTTGCCTTGTTCTAAGTGATGCCTCCTTGGTCAGGCCCCCACTCAGTGTAAGGTAACCCACAAGATGTTTGTCCTGGTTGGAGCTGGGCCCAGTGACCCCACTGGAGCTTAATGGCTTAGACACCCCAAAGAAGCAGCAGGGCTGGCTCTGGGCTCAGCAAGAGTTAAATGCAGCTAGCTGTGAGAGCAGGTATCGATCAGGAGCCTTGAACATGGTGTGCTGAAATCTAAAACTATCAGAGGCTCCCTGGGGCGTGGGTCTTTTTCCTCATGCATTCCAGTCATGCCCAAGAGAAGATAATTACAAGATTTCCCAGGAGCTGCGGCTTTAGAGGGCATTTTTTGTAAAGTGGTAACTTGTGACACCTTTTCTATCATAATTGATGCTGTAGTGGCAATAATTAACACTCGTGTTTCGTGATTAGAAAACACACTAATTAAATTTCTATTTAAATGCAATACAGATATTAATAAACACTGGATCTGAACAAATTAGCCATGGGGTTATTGTTCATTAGGCAACAGGATCCATAAGTGACATCTCAATCAAAGGCCTGGGACTCACCGGTAAAGCACCATGACTGGTTCTTTCCTGTTATGTTAGGTGTACATAGGGAATGTGGACCAACTCTATCATGAAAACTGTGGTGAGATACAGAAAACCCGAATCCTAACATTAAAGCTTGAAATGGCAGTGGGGAGCTTTGAGAGATGGGAGTCTGCAATGGGAAGTGATGGGCTGGGACGGGGGCTCACACACAAACCAGCACATGATTCCCAGGGACCACTAGCTCCTGCCAGCCCAGCGTGGACCTGTGCCGAGGCAGGGATCTGACTCTAGGGTAGTGAACGACAGCTCTTCCACCAAGCCTTGGCCACACATCGCTCCCAGAACACAGAGGAGCATGTCTGCAGAGAAGCCAGTGGTTTGACAGGGTCTCAATGGAAGTCAGCGGGCTCCTCACAGAGGCATCTGAGGAGGGAGGCCTGCACACAGAAGGCTTTGAGAGAAAAGGACAAGCACAGTGCCAACAAGGCAGTCTCTGAGACACAGGACGGCTGAGCCAGGAGCACAAGGTGGCCAACACCAGAGAGAAAGGCCATCTTCTGATGCTGGCATTAGCAACCGCATAGAACAAACACATCACCAAGTGGAACCCGTCTGCAGGGATCAGGGAACTGTAGCAGCAATGGAGATGTCAAGAGAATGTTTACTCTGTAGGAAAATGTCTACAAGATGTCTTCCTACTACAGGAAAAACAACCCAAATCATTGGCTGCTTCTGCAGGGGCTGGGGCACAGCAGGAGCCAGGAGAGCAGGAAACCCCAGCACTACAGAGGAGGGCACATCCCCAGTGTCTGCAAAGTCTCCCCCACAGGAATGTGCTTCTGGCCTCAAGGAAAAGGGCGTGGGAGGTCAAGGAACAGTCAGAGAAATTTACCCCTCCCCAACCAACAAAACTGGAAGCAGCTTTCCCCGGCTCCCCCTGCTTTTTTGAAGTTTCTCGAGACAGGGACACCGCTCAACCCGGCATGTGTACACACAAGGATTATCAAGCAAAGGCCAAGGGCTTTCTAGAAACTGACCGTAGAGCGGTAGTTGGCCAGCAGAATGGGGTACTGTATCACAGCTTCAAAGGTGGACAAGGTGATCTTGATGAACTCCTCCGAAGCCACCATCCCTAGAATCACAGAGAGATTGTTACACAGGCATCCATGCGTGCATGCTCTTCATGGCTCACACGCAACAAATGCAGCTGCTCACCTATGGCTCCGTCTATGTTCGTTTCTCCCGAGTCAACCGACTTAACGTGACTCTGAAAAAGAAGAAGTGTCTGATAAACGGGGGTCAAAATACCTCTGAAATGAAACCTGGGCAGGTAACAGTTTGCCTGAAACCACGTCTGATTCCTAAACTCATGGGGATATATTACAAACACTGCAATCAGTTTGAATGTGCTTATATAATACTGTACACAGTATATGCATACACTACTCACATATATGGAAAGGTGGCTCAGTGGTTAAGAGTTCAATTCCTAGCATCCAAACTGGACGGCTCACAACTTAACTCCAGCTCCAGGAGATCTGACACCTTTGCCCATCCAGACTGCACAAGTACCTGAAGTCAATGTGTACACACCCCACACATGAATACACACATACACTTAATTTAAAAGAAATGTTTTAAGATTTTACGTGTGTGAGTGCTTTGCTCATAAATATGTGGACCATATCCATGCAGGAAATAGATGGGTTCAGGGATTAGGGACTCAGGGATTAGATCGCCTGGAACTAGAGTTAAAGACAGTTGGAAGCCACCACAGGGTGCTAGAAACTAGACCCACGTCTTCTGTAAGAGCAACCAGTGCCCTTAACTACCGAGTCATCTCTCTCCAGCCCCCTAAAAATAATTCTTCAAAATTTTATTATGCATATATTAAGACCATGATTTTTAAATATACAAATGAGATTTAGTGTCGTAATAATTCAGTGGTAACAAAAAACTTACAAAAGTGAGAATGGCCACTGGTGGCATCTGCCATCTCATCGCTTGCGAGGCTGAGGCAAGGGTCGCCTTGAGCTTTAGGCTGCACAGTGACACATAGCAAGTTCAAGGCCAGCCTTACCAACAGCACCAAGGCCTCGTCAACAATGAACAACATCTACCGTGGTGACAACAGTCACCCCACAGGAGGGTCCTGGTGCTGCGCGGGGTGTCAAGGTGAAGGTGCAGCAGAGGCCAAGGCCTCGCGAGTGTCAACACTATCTGGTGTCTGACTCCAGTTCCTCCAGTCCCCATCCACTGTTGCCTACATCCCAGCACCGCGTGAGAGGAAAGACAGCAGTGGGGCTGTCAACCAGTGCTTCCCCTTCCCAGTCTGTGCTAAAGATCTGAACAGGACAGCAGTTCCCTGCCTGAGCTTAGGGAGATAGATGACCTCAGTCACACTGTGACGGGCGAACACCTGTGTTCTTTGCATGCAGTCACACCACTGTTCACGTCTTTAGCACGCAAAAACATGGTCAAATACAATGTTTTGTATATACCAAACAGCAGGACTGGGTTATAGCTTGGTGGTTGAGTGCTGTCTTACATACGCAGGGCCCTGAGTTCAACCCATCCAAAAGTACCATAAATAGCGAATAAAATATACGATGCCCATAAGACTAAAACGTAACTAGCTATACGCTTGGTCTACTGTGACACGGTTTAACAAAATGTGGTGGCCCATGCCTGTGATCCCTGCAATCAAGAGGCGGAGGCAGGAGGATCAATGTGAGTCCAAGGTCTGCCTGGACAGTTTAGTGAATTCAAGGCTGACCTGGGTACATAGCAAGACTCTGTCCCCAAATGAACTAAGAAACAATCGCTAAATAAACAGGTAATATAGACGTGTGCACTGCACAGCAGACAGTGTGCACAGAGCCATGGAGAACAAGGACCCTCTCCACCTACTAGGGGAGTTGACGGAGCCCCAACGTTCAGTTCCTCACATGACCTCCCCACCCCCGCTTCCTGGATACTTTTCAATATTCCTACACATGCCTCTCTGAACATTCTTTCGGCTAGATCTTTAACTTTTATTTAACTTTTATTTTTACGTGGAAGGTGTTTTGCCTGCATGGATTTCTGTGCACCACTTGTGCACCTGAGACCCACAGGTGAGACGAGGAATGGGACCCAGAGGCTGGAGTCACAAAGTTTGTGAGCTGCTTGTGGGCGCTGAGACCTTGAATCCCAGGTCCTCTAGGAAAGCAGCCATGGCCCTGACCACTGGGCCATCTCGTCAGCACCCACGATTTATCTTTTACTAAAATTATATCAAACTATACATTCCATACCAATGAGACAACAGCTGGCCACGAAAGGAAGCCCACGCTGCTCCCGCTCCTCTCTTTTGTCTTAGTGGGGGGGGGGTGAGACAGAAAAGTGAAGGGGTTTGCTATGAACAAAACCCAAGAATCCAGGAAACCAAAGTTCTTTAAAAGGCAAAGATTCCAACCTCACTTCTCTTCAGAGCATAAACAAACAACGATGCCTAGAGGTCACTGTACGGCGCACAACAAGAACTTTTTATAACAACTTGGTTGAAATCATTTCACAAATTTCCAAAATGAAACAATTTTTCAATGAATATTAATTTGATGGCAAACTAAAAGTTCAGAAAGAAATGTCTATTCTTTTTTAAAGAGGAGACGCTGAGGTGAGAAGGCTCAGAAGGTCAAGGAGCTTGTCCCCAAGCCAGCCAGACATCCTGAGGTCACTCCCAGGGACAGAAGCGAAGCAGGGACTCCTGCAAGCCATCTGCACACATGATGTGGTCCAGGCCCACAACCCCGTCAATATAAAATTCTTTTATGAGAAAGAGACTGGGCAGGCACATGCAGTGTGACCCACCTTCGAGATCCATAGAGTGACAACCAAAATAAGCTGCTTTACATCAGAATTTTTTAAAACATCTTTAACTTTAAAAAAAAAAAGTCAACTATCTGTGCTGAGTATGACAAGCATGGGGTCATGTGTGCACACTGATGCTCTCTGGACAATGGTTCTGAAGACTGCACAGGGTCATGTGTGCACGCTGATGCTCTCTGGACAATGGTTCTGGAGACTGCACAGGGTCATGTGTGCACACTGATGCTCTCTGGACAATGGTTCTGAAGACTGCACAGGGTCATGTGTGCACGCTGATGCTCTCTGGACAATGGTTCTGGAGCCTGCACAGGAAGGCTGGCCACCCGACAGCAGCTTTCAGGGCAGACACCAGCAAACCTGGACAGTGCAGACTGAGACTGGAGCCACCACTCACTATCGCACACATCCTTGGGGTTTACAGCTGACTTTTCTTTATTCATGTCAATAACAGTTATCCCAGATGGTGAAATAACCCTCCAACTTTGAGTCAAAATAAAGTCTTCCTTAAGCTGCTTGGTCAGGGCCACAGCCCCCAGGAGAGCAAGAAACGGTGACACAGAGACAGAGAGCTGCAGTGACCACAGCCCGGGACCCAGAGCATCTCCAGAGCTGCAGTGACCACAGCCCGGGACCCAGAGCATCTCCAGATGACTGCAGAGAGCATGGACAGCGAAGTAGAGGCTCCACAGTGGAGCAGAGAATGCCACAGACCTCAGGGCCAGGCCAGCAGCTGAAGAGTAAAGACAGAAAACAGCCCTGTCAGGGCTGCAGAGATGGTGCAGTGGGTAAAAGGGCTTGCCGCCAGACCAACGGCAAGCCTGCCCACCTCAGTATTTACAGATCTCCTCTGCAGTCAGAACAGAGTCAGAAAAAAATCCTCACAAGAACATCCGTAGGTTACAAGAGCTTTTGGTGGTTTGTTTAAAAGCATGGCAGGTACCATCTCCACAACGCAAATCAAGCACTATCAACATATCAGCATTCACACATCAGAAAGCTGGGCACAGGTGGGGTGGGGCATGTCTGCCAATCTCTGCACTTTTACAGTCCAGCAAGGTCAGGACTGGAAAACCCAGCATGTCCTGGGCTCATCAACCAAAGACCTTGGGAAAGAACACAGGAAATAGTGCACAGTAGGTCAACAGCCATTTAAAACAGCACACAGTAGATCAGCATCCATCAAAACAGCACACAGTAGGTCAACTGTCATCAAAACAGCGCACAGTAGGTCGACATCAAAGCAGCATGCAGTAGGTCAACAACCATCAAAACAGCACACAGTAGGTCAGCACCCATTGAAACAGCGTGCAGTAGGTTGACAGCCATCAAAGCAGTGCACAGTAGGTCGACAGCCATCAAAGGTCCCACCCACTGTTTCTGTTCCAGCCCAGTTCAGTCCCCGCCACCTCCCCAGCTCTGGGTGCAGGCCTTGAAGAGGCAGCTGGTGTGGGCAGGCGCCTGCCTGGTGAGGTGGAAGGCAGCGATTCACAGTTGGCTGGTCCTCCTCTGGCGGAGACTGTGAAAGCCCAAGGTGGCTTAGAAGTGCCCTGCTATGGCAGCCAACCAGCAGTCTCCTTAAGACCCACATCTTGCTTATTTGTGGGGAAATGTTCATATAGAGCTCATTTCTACACTCATGACCCATATGTAACCATCTAGAATGTTCTACCGTAAAAGGGCACCTACAGACCAAAGAAACCACTCCATCAGTGTCCAGCTTAGCCACTAGGGTTGTTGGGTCTCCTAAAGAGCAGGACTGGGGGTGAAGGGAAGCAGCGCACGCCAGCATGGATGCCACGTCCCCTGAGCTGCAGACTCACCCTCCGTCACCCTCCACTTTCTCCACGCTCTAGAACAGCAGAGCTCTGGACCTTCCCAACGCTGCGACCTTTAACACAGTTCCTAGTGCTGTGGTGACCCAGCCACAAGTTTGTTACTACTTCCTAACTGTAATCTTGCTACTGTTATGAACCATAATGTAACATGAACAGTCACTCTACCCCCAGGTTGAGAACACTCGAGAGCCTCCTCAGGCAGCATGACCACGTGCACCTGAGGCAGAATTAGATACAGCTTGGAGGGGCTGATGGCCGCCCCTCCTGGGAGGGGCGTCAAAGTCGTCACGGCTGCTCTGATGAGGATGGCAATGTCCCTCCCACAGCACAGGCAAACGGTGGCCTGATGCCATTACGAGACGTACCAGGCCATGCCCTCCAGGTCCCCTCTTTAAGGACCCTTGCAATGAGTGAGGACACAGCCCCTCTGGGCCTCTCTCCGTGCCCACTTTACCCAAAGGCAAGAAGTTCTGGTCTATGCAGTTCCTGGATTCAGCTGGAATTGAGTCCCTCAGATGCAGGCAGTTTGTAAAAGGTAATAAGCCTGCCATGATGGAGACTACTCGGGCATACTTGGAAAATACTGAAAAGATCTCCAGAAGGAAGTAAAAGGAAGAAAAGCTGGATTAGAAGGACAGCTCAGAGGGGCAAGTGTGTGCTGAGCAAGCACGAGGACCTGAGTCCAATGCTCAGCACCCACACTAAGGCAGGACAGACAGCAGTAGGGCGCAGCAGCGCACAACGCCAATCCCACAGCAATGGCGCCCAGTTTGCCTCCTGTTGCTGTGACAAACTCCACGATGAGAGACAAGTGTGGGAGGAAAGGGTTTGTTCTACCTTGCAAGGCACAGTCCGTCATGGGGGGAACTCAGCAGGAGCTGGAGGAAGACCGTGGAGGTACAGCCGCTTACTGGCTTGCTCCTTCTGGCTTGCCCCAGCTCACTCCGTCTGGCTTGCTCCTTCTGGCTTGCTCCAGCTCACTCCGTCTGGCTTGCTCCTTCTGGCTTGCCCCAGCTCGCTCCGTCCGGCTTGCTCCTTCCAGCTGGCTCCCCAAGCTCACTTACCCAACAGCCCACTTGCACAAGGATGGCACCGCCCACAGTGGGCTGAGTCCGCCCACAGCACAAGCAATTAAGGAAATGCCTCACAGACATGCTCGCATGCCAGCCCATTCTCAGCAGCTGAGAGCCCCTCTCCCCATGTGAAGCTGGATCGTGCCAGGCTGACCCCTGGAGCTGATTATGTAAGAATGGAAGGCAGAGGCAGGAAACTCTAGACGCTCACTGAAGTCAGCAGGTTCTGGGCTCCACAACAGACCCTGCTACAGGGTGAAATGAAAAGATGGAGAAAGACACCCACAGGGGCCAGGACAGGCAGGTGCGCTGGCAGGCATGTGTGCACTTGACACGCTGCTCTGTGCATGGCCGTGTGTGACATTCTTCTGCATGAGCGCTGCACACTTCAGGGAACCTTCAGGAACCACGATGAAAGCAAACGTTTCCAGAGCTCTTGCATGCCAGCCCACTTCCCGTTTCAGGGCTGGAGGATATGAGGTGGGCTGGTTTTCTTAGCTGGCGTCAGCATACAAGGGCCGGAAGAAAGTTCTTGATAATTTCTGGAAGATCAGCTCACAGAACCAACATCTGATGGCAGCTCTCATGTCCGTCTCATGTCACATCAAAGCTCAGGACAAATGCAGACAAACTGCACAGATGACAGAGGCAGGCCGTGGGGTCATGGGGTGGACAGTGACCTACTGCTTTCCAGGGCCACATCGACGCCTTCGACACCGAGTACAAGATGATGCAAACAGGTAGAGAGAGAAGTAACCAAGTACCCAGGAGCAGCCAGGATGCAGACTCGGAAAGTGGCCTCACCAGGGAGAGCCCAAACACCCACTACCTCGTTCCTTCGTGTCTGTGTGTGTGTGTGCCCCCACACACGCATACACATGTATGTCCACATGCATACACACATGTGCACTTAGATAACTTTAGGAGTCAGGCCTGTCCTTCCAGGGAATGGCTGGGCCTCCAGCTCAGGTCATGAAGCTCAGCTACAAGCACCTTTAACCACTGAGCCATCACGCCAGCCTCAGAATACAACATTTTGCCATTTTGTTTGTTTAAACTCCCTCCTGAGAACCAAAGACAGAGAAATGTAAAAGCTTTTTTCATAATAAACCAGGCAGGTTGTTTCCCACAAACACCTGTATGGAGGCAACCCTAGCGAAGACCAATAAAGAGCAGACGATTCCTGGGGAGAGAGGAGGCCCTTCCCCAGGGGGGCCTCCAGCCTTGTCTCTGAGCCCATGCGGCGCTCCCTTCCTGAAAGGGGCGCAAACATTTAATTCCTGAACGTCCAGAGAGAGCCGAAGTTAGTACCACAGCGTTCTCAGCCCCTACCGTCACCCATGTCCTTTCAAACCTTGATGCCTATCGTGTGCTTTTCTTTACTAGGGGCTGTCTCGGAACAAAATACATTATCAGGAGAGAATGTGTTTTCCCCAAATGTCAAATTTTATTGCAGTCAACAGATAAAAATATAAAAAGGTCACTTCCCTACAAACAAATGCCATTTAGACTTTTAATGCCTGCCTTCTCGCAGCCCACCCACAGCCAGCAGTCAAAGCAGCACCGCCAGCCTGGTAGGAGTCCCGCTACTCACGAGAATCGTCCCGTAGCTGAAGAGAAATTCTTCCGTCACCACCTGAGGCCGGAACACCTGTAGGGCGAGAGGTCCCTGGATGAGATCCTGACAGCCACAAGCAAAGATGGACAGTCAGAAGAGTCATCTCAGGAGAGATGGCGCCCTCCGGGGATGGGGTGGGGTACCTGAGACATGACCAGATGGAGCACCACGGGCATCATGGGAAGACACATCTTCAGCTGCTTCCCCTGGACCGTTGATGGGTGCTTTCGGCCAGACACATTGACCAGAGCATTAATAATGTCGCCTGTGGAGCACATCAGGGAAGGTGAGAAGGCACAGAGGGGCAAATGATCCTCCTGCCTCCACCACCAGGGGTTTTAGGTGTGTGGCACCGTATCTGATTCTATGCGGGGCTAGGAGTCACACCCAGGGCTTTTCGTGCATCCTAGGCAAGAACTCTACCAGCTGGGCCACATCCCCAGCAAGTCACACACTGTTAATATAACACACTTGTAGCCTCTGGGGACAGAGTGTAACAATCTGCATAGCCACTATCAATTGACCTCTAACCTAGAAATTAAAGAGAGTTTATAGTTATGATACAGTAATGTTCTTAGGAATTTATCTGTATTGTTCAAATTGACTATTACTGCTTATTGCTTTAGAAAACTAATTTAACAGTATAAGTAAACAGATTATAAAATACAACTTGAAAAAGAAAGCAGAAAGAAAAACAAATAGAATGGGAAAAAGAGGAAGCAGTATTTTTTTTTTCAAGACTGGGTTTCTCAGTAGCCTTAGCTGTCCTGGAATTTTCTCTGTGGACCAGGTTGGCCTTGAACTCACAGAGATCTGCCTGCCCTTGACTTCCAAGGGCTGGGACTAAGGGCGTGCACCACGACTGCCAAGGATGGGGAAAAGAGGTCAATGTCCAAAACTTTTAATTTAATTTAATTTTAGTGTATGCGTGTGTGAGTGTGTGTGTGTGATAAGGTTTCTATTGCTGTAAAGAGACACCATGACCACAGCAAATCTTGTCTTATAAAGAAAAACATTTAACTGGGATGGATTACATTTTCAGAGGTCCAGTCCATTATCAGCATGGTGCAGCACAGTGGCGTGCAGGCACACATGGTGCTAGAGCGGGTGCTAAGAGTCCTTACATCTTGACTCACAGGCAACAGGAAGTGGTCCGTGACACTGGGCAGGATCTTGAGCATATAGGAGACCTCAAAGGTGCCTCCTCCACAGGACACACTTTCATACCACCAGTGTGTGTGTGTGTGTGTGTGTGTGTGTGTGTGTGTGTGTGTGTGTATGCACACATGAGTGAAGGTACCCAGAAGAGGGCATCAGATCCCCTGAAACTGGAGTACAAACAGGTGTGAGCCACCATGTGGGCGCTGGGAATTGAACCTGGGTCCTCTGGAAAAGCAGTCAGTGCTGTTAACTGCTAGGCCACCGTGCCGGGCTCCATTTCCAGCATCACTGGTGGAGAAGGTGTCCTAACTGATCAGGAAGAGAGTTACTGGCAGTAGGATGACATCACCATTGCTTTCGCATCCGTAGCTCCGCATCTTCACTAAGATGGCTTGAATCAAATTTAATGAGCTAAACACTTCTGGGCTAGAGCTACACCTTCTGGGAACGCATGGGAAAGGGGCCAGGGCGGCACTGGGTCCTGCTCATGTGACTTTAATTTCCAAAAACAACAAGAAGACATTTCCTTAGTGCAATTAGCATTCTCTGCAGGTCATCCCTAAACGTTCTCATATTAAAGAGATTTCTCCAAACAACTAATACCATCAAGATCTGTGACTCCAAACCCTAAACCTATATACGTTTCTGGCTGTGGCACTGTACATCTGAATCTTAGCCTTGGAGGATGAAGGAAGGAAGATCAGGAGTTCAAAACCAGCCTCCGCTACATAGTGCATTCAATTCCAACCCAAACTTTATCTCAACAAAATGAAACAAAATACAAACAATAATAAAAAAGCATGGACAGGTGTGGTAGTGCACACCTTTAATCCCAGCACCCAAGAGGAGGAGGCAAACCACGTCTCAAACAACCATAACCACGACAAAACCAACCAATGAAACAAAATGAAATATACATTTTAAAAGTTCTTTTAATAAATAAATATATTTATTGTTCTAATTTCACGGGAAATTATTTAAGATATGGGCAGGTTTCTCAGCTTTTCAGGATGAACCACAACCTGATTTCCATTTTTTTTTCTTAAACTGTCATTTGGTTGTTTGAATAAAATGGCCCCACAAACTCATAGGCAGAAGCACTATCAGGAGGTATGACCTCTGTTGGGTGAAGGGTGTCACTGGGGGCGGGCTTTGAGATCTCAGATGCTCCAGCCAGGCGCACTGTGGCGCTCTCTTCCTGCTGTCTGCAGATCAGAGGTAGAGCTGTCTGCTACCTCTCCAGCACCATGTTGGCCTGCACCCCGATATGTTCCCTGTCATAGTAAATATGGAGCCAATTAAATGCTTTCTGTATAGGGGTTGCTGTGTTCATGGCATTGCCTCATAATCATAGATATCACGACAGCCATCTACCTCAGGTAACACCCAAATGTAACATCTCAATCCTGTGACCAATACAAAGTAACTATAGACCAGACAAGGCCAATGAAGTCTTAAAGCCACACACATTGCAGAGAAATGTCTCCCCACTGCCCCACAGCAACATAGACATCAAGACTCAGAGATGTGATGGCATGCACAGGACTTGTACAGGTCCCAGCCAGACAAAAGTCCAGCACAGGGAACGATAAAACTGATGTGCGGCCACCACCGGACAGTTCACGATTTGTTTTGTTTTATTTTATTGATATACCACACTAGTCAGGTCACACGGCAGGGCAGACCCAACCCCAAGACTAGCTGGGCAACGCAAACTGTGGAAGAAACCAAAGAGGAGGAAAGGAGACTGAAAGAAGATGAAGACAAAGAAGAAGACGAGAATCTCGTGACTATTGGGTGGGGAGGGATGGGAAGACTGAGTGGGAAGGGGAGGAGCTAAGGGGGCGAATATGTTTACAAACCATATAAAATCCCAAGAAATTAATTTTTAAGGTAAGTTTTGAAATAGAAGAGAAGCAAGAATGAAGAAAGGCATGCCAGAAGCCAGGCGCAGAAAAGTAAACAGCTATGGGCCCCGAGCAGGTGGCTGTCGTTTACCTAGGATCCGCGGCGGCTCCTGTACCATGTGCTGGATGAGGAGATCCAGGCACCTGGCCAGGTACTCGCTCCCACCCTGCAGCTCCTTGCCTGGGGAGGTCTTTCTGCTGTCTCTCTCGATGTACATCACCAGCCTGCAAAGAGCACCGGGCAAAGATTATTGCTCATGATAAGATAGATACAGTGTCTGTCTTAAATGCCACCGAGGTGAGTGTTTCCAGAGGTGCAGCCCTAGCCCTGCTGACCCGTCACGGCACTGAACAGCCAGGCACAGTCAGCTGCACTTTACAAGCCCAGACATTGATGCAGAAGCCAGGCTCCACTAAAGGTCTCTGCCCTGGTTGTAAACAACACCCGATTTTGTTTGTCTTTGCCCAACGGAAAGATACATTCTCCACTAATAGACAGTGACCAACCAAGACATTTGCACACAAGGGGCTCTCGGTGTCCCAGGATCAATGGAGAACCTTGGGTACCAGCCCTTTTGTTGGTCATTAATATTAAACTTGGTTGGAAGTCCTGGCCATTCAAATGTACTCTAGTTCTTTAGGGGAACTATAGACACAGAAAGAAACGTGGACAGCAACAGTTACATTAGCACACCTTTCTGTCCATTAGTTTAAGATGTCTGCTGTGCATGCGTGTGCATGCATGCGTGTGTGTGTGTGTGTGCGTGCGCACGCACGCACGTGAGAGAGATGCGCTATGAGCTGTCCTGATCACTCATGAAGTCAGCATCTTCTCATGTGTGAACTGAACATCTAGGGATGACACGTGTGTGAAGAGACACATGTGAAGGGTTCATTAAGTCTTGGTTTTCTCCTGGATTCTCTTGTCCATTAGGTTAGAAACTCAGTGGGGGATTATTTGTGTAACAAGTGCCTTCCCCTGGTCTATGGCTTGATTTGGATTCTTTTGTTTGTTTTTAAATTTCTGACTCTAACGGAAGTCCCTAACTTTAAATTAATATCAGTGTTTCCTTTATGATGGAGCCTGTGCAGACTGTCAGAACTGTGAACTGAGCCCACGGTTGCCAAGTCTGTTTTGCTGTCACGTTTTCACAGGCAAATGTACCACACACCTACCTGGTGTAACTTAAGGAGAGGTTTGTCATCCACTGACATTTACATAAGGCAATGCCAACTGTAGTTGCCTGAGGAGCAGAAAAGTAAACCAGCCACCCTGGTCAGCCTTATAGACCAGACAGTGGTGACACACACCTTTAATCCCAGTAGCCACACCAGTTGCCATAAAAACCAGGCGATAGTGGTGCATGCCTTTAATCCCAGCTCTAGAGAGGATTATAAAACAGGAAGAAGATAGTCCTTAGACACAGTGATTCCTGGAGGCAGGATAGCCATTTCAGACTGAGGTCAAGGTAAGAGCCAGTGGCTGGCTGCTTTGCTTTTCTGACCCTCAGGTAAGTTTTATTTATTAAAATACAAGTGAAATTCCACTACTTCAACCTCTTCCCGAGCCCCCACCCCAGACTCCTCAGGGTTCATATTTTCTATCCGACTCCAAATACCAATCCCAGAGGACTCCAGTCTCCATGCACGGAGTGTGGTCTCTGCACACGCACCGTAGAGTGCACTGAGTGTGGTCTCTGCACACGCACTGTAGAGTGCACTGAGTGTGGTCTCTGCACACGCACTGTAGAGTGCACTGTGCAGCCTGCAGTCGGACTTCTCCAGACGACGCTGACGTTCGCCTCTAGAATGAAGGTAAAGACACCTGGGCCACTTTTACCCAGACTGGAATAAAGACTGGAAGAGTTGCCAGGGTGAATTTTTCCCCCTGCCCTGGGAAATCCCCCAAATCTATAGCTCTCCCGGACGTAAGCAGAATGCAAAGGGGGTTCTTAAGTTTCAGGAGTCAGAGAATTAAAAGAAAACTGACCCCTAAATCCACAGCATATACAAAAGTACATTCCTACTTGTCTTTAAAGATTCAAATTTTCTCTAAAATCTAAATTACTTAGCACAGAATGTAATGGTGTGTTATTTAATTGACAAAATCTAAAACATCTTTCCTTAAGTTGAGGTTTAGCTGCCCTTTGGAACCCTACTGCAGAGTGAGCCCATCAGAAGACAGCCATCTGCTTGCTCAGAACCAGTGTGGCCCAGCACCAGCAAGGCCTGGGGGAGGCCGACAACCGCTGTCACCAAGTGCTCACCAGGGGACACCCACCCCGCACTCTACAAACTCACTTTGGATAAGAAGGATAAAATGTGGAGACCTTTGCATGAGGAGACCATGAACATTTTAGACTGTTCTCCAACATGGCAAATTGTATTTCTTAGCATTCTACAGAGACCAAGTTAAAAAGACTGACTCAGTAAAAATCCAAGTAAACTGCCAAAGAACAAGACCCACTCTTCCCTCCAACTCCTCCACGGGGAGCCTCTTCCCATAGCGTTCCCATCCCCTAACCTTCTGGACTTCAGTTACCTTATCCCCGCCCCCCCAGCACCCCTCCTCACCCTTCCCTCTGTGTTCTCTGTCCTGACACACACCCATGTCCCAGGGCTGAGCTCGCCAAGTCCTGGTCTCTGGTGCTCATGGGGCTGAGCACAAGGCTGGTGTCAGTGACGCTGAAGCCCGTGTGGGAGCTTACGCCTGTGACCATGTGGGGGCTCACGCCCATAACCAAATACTTGGGAGGACAAGTAGAAGGGGCAGGTGTTCCAGGCCATCCTCCACTCATAGTGAGTTTGGGGCTAACCTGGACTATCTGAGACCCTGTCTCAAACAGGAAAAAAGTCTAATAAAATGCATACTGATGGTGTCTCCTACATGCTTGCTCGGTATTTTTTATTTTGGATAATTTTCATTGAGAGTTTGATTGGATGTAGAATGACCTGAGAGACAGACCTCTATGCCTGTCTGTGAGGATGCAGAGAGGGTACAAAAAGGGAGAAGGCAAAAGCTGGGGTTCTGAGTGGAATGAAAAAGGAAAAGAGAAGGAGTCAGATGTGCATGGCAGATGTGCACCGGCAGATGTGCATGGCAGATGTGCACCAGCAGATGTGCACCGGCCCGCCCTGCTCTCTGCTTCCTGAGCAGCTAAGGTGTGACGTGGCCCAGGTCCACATTCCTGCCATCCGTGCCCCCCCATGATGGACTGTAGTACTTGTTTCTCCCCATTCAGGAATAATTTGCTTTAATATTTATATTAAATGAATTAGTTTATTATTAATAATTAATATTAAAGGATGCACCTTCCCTCTCTCCCCCGCCCCTCCCAGGATCCTTGGCAAACTCCTTCCTCAACTCAACACCTTCATTTCCCATCAACGTTCTGAGTCAGCTCTGGCGTCCAGGTGATGAATGGGCTTTTGGCCTAAATCCAAATGACAGCAACCCCAGCGTATCTACGAGCCTGCTCTGGTTGCTCCTTTTCTTCCTAAATCTGTAACTGGAAGAGTCGTACTTAGCAACTGTCAGAACCCATATGCTGACTTACATGAAATGTAAGAATTAGAAAGGAAAAATGGGAGCCTAGAAGGTTCCCTGGGGCCTCCTGCTGCAGCGCGGCTCCTGAGCGCCTGCAGTAAAGGGGCCTAGGAATGCGCCAGCACAGTGGGCTGCAGCAGGGATCTTTGGGCTTTTAGAGCAAAGCCATGCTCTCACTGGCAATCAGGAGCTTCTCGCAGACACAGAACATCAGTGCTGGCACCAAAGCATCGTGCAATCCAGACTGCCTGTTGTTATCTAGCAGGCTGGGCACACAGCAGTAAACCGTCATCAACAGGACAGAGATGAGCACCCGCCCTGCGTGGAGGAGAGTCAGAACTTCCACTCTGTGCAAGGCCGATCCTAACCCTGAGTGGGGAACACCCACCCTACATGGAGGAGGGTCAGACCCTGAGTGGGGATCACAGCAGTCGACTAGCAGAGAAGAGCAGGCTCTGTGGGTGGAATGAGATGTGACCCTTGGAGGACACCGTCCAGAGAGTGGAACTTCGAACCACAGCTGGCTGCATCCCCCCTTTCGGTTTAGCATGGCTAAAGTATAGGTCTGTGCTGCCCGGGAGCACTAGGCAAGAGTTCAGTAGACAGAAACGCAGGGCTTAAGACTGGTGACAGAAAGCTCCAGGGAAGAGAACCAGAGAGACAGCTCAGTGGGCAAAGCACATGCCGTGGAAGCAGAAAGACCATACTCATATCCCACAGACAGGCCAAGTGGGCACAATGACCTGCCTCGGAAGGCCAGGATGGGAGCCCCAGAGCGAGCTCATCCCAAAGACTACCCAGACCAAACGAGCTCTGGGTTTCATTGAGACAGCCTAGCTCAAAGAATAAGGGGGAAGAGAGACTGAGATAATTCCCAACATCAGCCTTGGGCCTACACACACACACACACACATTGCAGAGCACCCAAACATACACACACGTGCGCGCACACATGCACATGCATACACACATAACACACACACAGACACATGCACATACATACAAGTACACACCCATGCACACCTACCCACATCTACCTGTACTCAAATGCAACGTGCATACATGGGTGATGGTGTAAATGAGACATGTCCCTGCAGGCTGGTGTGTTTGGCTTCTCTGTCTTCACTGAGGGGCGCTGTTCAGGGAAATTACAGAATGCTTAGGACATGAAGGCTGGCTGGAGGAAAGTTTACCACTAGGGCGGCTTTGAGAGTGCACAGCTTTGCCCCGCTCTCCCTTCCTTCTGTTTGTTTCTGCACATGTGGAAGATGCAGCCTCTCGGCTTCCACTCCAGCCACCTGCCGCCACGCCTCCCCAACTTCCCTTCTGGAACCACAAGCCAAGACACACTCTTCCACACTTTGTTCTATCACGGCAACGGAAATTACTGGCATAACAGGAAAAAGTGAGATAGCATGCCATTGCTTCCACAGGATGAGCACGCTCACTGACAGAATCCAATCTAGAGGATGTTGTCAGCAATCGTGCAGATAAAATGGCACTCTGCAAATGTCACCAGAGTCCTTCAGATGCCTCTGAGCTTCCACAGCGGGAAAGATGGCGGCTACTCAGGACCAGCAAAAGTAGAGCGAGTGAAGGATTCACAGGGATTTGGTCTGTAGTGCTGAGGCTCACGAGAGAAGCACCTGATGTGGGGTGTCTCTGCAGGCTGTGAACA